TCTCTCTCTCTCTCTCTCTCTCTCTCTCTCTCTCTCTATATATATATATATATATATATATATATATATATATATATATATATATATGCATGTCTGTTGTCATACCCATCGACTCGGAAAATGCATAGACAGAATCATCAAGAAATTCACATTAATGAATGAAACAAGAAACTTTAATTTTGTTTCGGACTCGAGTACAGCACGTAAATCGAGTACAGCACGAAGATCTTCTCTGGTATACTATCCCTTTATTTCGGCCAATTTCTACTATTTTCCCAGCGATCCGCGGTGCCTGGTAGAGGCTAGTATTCCCATCCCAAGTGGGGCTTCAGTATCCGAATGATTTTACATTTACAGGCGTATCCTGCACGCGTTGAACTTGTAGCGCCGGTCTCTGAAAAAAAGGGGCATTGTGTAACAATTTTGCACCAACAATTGACATATTTCAAAAATATTCGTGATATAAAAAAAAAATAGTCGATAGACTTTTCGATATATTCGATAGATCTATTAGATAGCGATTAATGGACTTCAAAGAAGGTAGCGATCCCCAACAGGCTTCGGGTGCGGCAAACTTCTAGCGGACCCCTCTTTTAATTGGCCGGTTTTTAATCTTTCCAGCCGCCTCCCGAAGCCTGGTAGGGGCTAATCAAACTCGCTTACTCATAGTAGTTGCTGTGGTCGCCATGCATGCCCCGAAGGTAGTAGCCGCTAGAGACAGCGTAGTTCATCCTGTCGTCGAAGCTGTTCGCGTAGGGCGACAGGGCGCAGTTGAAGGTCACCATGTTGTACTTTCGAGAGCACTTCACCTGTGGGAGGTACCAAAACATGGAAGAGAATCGGTCAGATTTTGTACCTTCGCAGAGGGAAAGCATATTGTCTGGGCTCTGTTTCCTTTTCTTCTCCGAACACATAAGGTCGATGACCTGGACCAGATGTCTGTCGCCATGGTAACTGGTGATGTGTAGCAGACAACCTGTTGTGCTGGGTTACATTATGTGGCAAGTGGCAGGACAGAGCTGGACGTTGTTGAATGTGTTTGAGTAAGAATAAACAGAACAGTAGTTGTTAGGCTATGCCGTGTGAAGGTAAACAATATGCATTTGCTTTGCACTAACGTTTGCTGCCACATGTCACATGATGACATACGATACTGGTTTGTGGCAACAGACTGGGGACAATTGGAGGACAGGCGTGCATGTGTCGCACGAACGTCTTGTTCTTTGACGGAACAGACTGACATAAATCACTGCCTTATTTTATTGCTCTGTTTCCTCTTCATCTCCCAAAACATTAATTCAATGACCGGGAACATTTAAGTGAGAAGGACACAGTGCACCCCCCCCCTCGTCTATGTACGTTTTCTGAGTTGTGAGCAATAATTAAGAAGTAAATTAACTGAAAACCAACAAAAATTGTCGTACATAAGATCCCACTGGTCTGAACATTGGACCCGTGCTATTTCTTAGAATTATTTTCCACATTTTTTCCACTATTTTCCCACTATTCCCTCTGTGAGTCTGACCATGCAAAACATTCTGATCGTCTTATAATCCCACTGAACACTATGCTGGTAAAAGAGATCCTAACAACCATTTAAAAATGGCATGAAGAAAACACTATCACAGGAATATTTCATTGGAGGAGTACCTCACAAGATAAAGCTTTTGTGTGTTATGTAACTCACGTTCCATCGGCGGTCCTCATAGCGGTTGCTGTGCTCGCTCCTGAACCCGGTGACGAGCGCGTTGAACGGGCACTCGAAGTTCATCACGCCGTCGTAGTCGTTGATCCACTCGGACCAAAACTCCTCGTCGAACCTGGACAGCCCCAGGACCGAGCCGCAGCCGAACTTCCAGACCCTGTCCTCCGTACGCCCGCAGTGGACGCTGCTGATGCGCCTGATCACCTGCGAGAGAAAGTAGTCCGTTCCATGATTATTTGGAGGGCCGACACGCCTTACAAGAAAGCTTGTAGTTGGCCTACAACCATGTAACTTCTTACGGTAAAAATTGACTTCAGTTTATTTACAATATTTAAGCTTATTAATTAATTACTTATTTTATATTCGTTTTGGCTGAAGAAATGGCCAGGGCTGCCGAACAAGCACAGGGCCAACCAACCAATCAAAGCTTCATTTGTTTGTTTTCGAATTCTATTCCAACATTTATCTGACATGTCGACCGCACACTCATGTTTTTTCAACTTCTTTTTATGCCAGACGCAGACAAACGAATGAACGGACATCAGACATACTCATTTTCACCTGAGTAACGTGGGGAAATTCATTTGTTTGCTGTGTCGATAAATGTTTGAAGCAGCGGCTTACCTGGTTCCCCGGACACTCGAACTGGAAGGTGCCGTCCCAGGTGGTCTGTGCGCCGGGCAGGGCTTGTCCCGGGCTCGGGCATGCGTCCGCCTGGCATACGAGCAGTCCGACCAGGGCCACAACGAGGAGGACACGGAGGGAACTAGACTTCATGTTGCCGCCTGGTAGTCTATCGTAGATTCTATGACAGTGTTCGTCACACTAACCTGCTTTATATACGAAAAAATGAGACCCTACTTCCGTGTTCTTAGCCACGACTGAGAAACCATCAGGAAAGACACGAAGGTTAGGCCTCCTGGTAAACGACACCCATATTTTAAACTCTAGTGCTGGATATACATTATGCAGATTACTCCCTGGTAATTTAACCCAAGCCAGTTCCTCGAAGACGACTTGGCGAGTTTGTGATACAACATCCGGCGGTTGTCCAAGACTTCGGCTTTATGCTATAAACCACAAACGTAAACCTGAGACACACCCCAACACTGTGTGTGCGTTTCTCAATACTTTGACTATCGCCGATGACAGTTAGACATCCAGGTATTGAGATACCCAAAAATGGTAGTCAAGCAACTGGGTGGGTTTTGACAACTGTAAGACGTTTCATGAGAAAAGTTGAGATATGGATGACTATTGTGCTCTTTCAATCTTATCTTTGGTTGTTGTTGCGCAACAGGTTTCTCCTCTACAACACTGAGACAGAGGCTTTTGTGCATTAATGATTATGTAATCGAATTTTCGTACCTGTTCATACAAATAAAACACAACAAAAACAGACTAGATAACCCTTTCATTAGATGTCTAGTTTGACCAACAATGTGATTAAAGGCATCCAATGAGATTTCAGGGTAGCGAAACTGAATTTTAAAACGTCAATTTTCTGATCATACAGTGGTATGTTGACTCAATCCTATCCCAAAGCATACTCAGGGGTGCCAGAGTATACAGTGCAATTTTACGGAATACAGTGCAAGTTTACTAGTATACAGTGCAATTTTACGGAATACAGTGCAATCGTATTAGTATAGAGTGCAATTTTACGGAATACAGTGCAATTGTATTAGTATACAGTGCAATTTTACAGAATACAGTGTAATTTTACTAATGAGGTTGAATCACGTGACTTGAACCCTTTCTCTTCAGCTTCAAGATGGCGGACGCCGCTAGACTCACATATTTCTGTCTTTTTCGAGCGAATTCGAAATGATCCCTGTGCAGTAACATGCCCTGTGTGTAGTATGTAGTGATTTGACTAAAGGTCTATCTACGAGAACGGTCAAAGATCGCTTGACAAACACAGAAATGCGTGAATACGCTCCGTCAGCGGCGTCGCAAATTTCCGTCTCGTAAACGGTCGTCGCCTTTTCACAGAACGGTCGTCGCCTTTCGGGGCGGTCGTCGCCATTTCCGAGCGACCGAACTTGAGTTCCGAATATCCGCGGCATGTTCGCGACTTCCCGGAGTTCTTGGCATGTGTGAATCACATTTCATATAACAATTGGCAACTGTAGGCGGGCCAGAAAAGTAATTTGTCCCCTCAGTTGCTGATTTTATAAGATCAGCACACGCTTCTAGGCCTGGATCTTCTCCAGCCTATTCTTGTTTCCCGGGTTCGCGGAAAAGGCTGGGCGCCTGCCAGGCTAGCCTGCCAGGTTTTGGGGTTTCCGGAAAAGGTGGGCACGGCTAGGGCTGACTTGCAGGCTACCCTTTCTGGACCACAAAGGATGTGAATGGGGGTTTGGTCTCTAACAAATCTACTTGTATTTACTGCTATGGGTGGGCTGTTTGGGGGTGGAAATCACCATGGGTACTAGTAATCACTGCTATAAGCAACTCGAGCAAGACTTAGTTATAGTAATTAAAGTTATGTTTTTTTTTGTGTGTGTGAATCACGTTTCATATAACAATTGGCAACTGTAGGCGGGCCAGAAAAGTAATTTGTCCCCTCAGTTGCTGATTTTATAAGATCAGCACACGATTCTAGGCCTGGATCTTCTCCAGCCTATTCTTGTTTCCCGGGTTCGCGGAAAAGGCTGGGCGCAAGCCAAGCTAGCCTGCCAGGCTTTGGGGTTTCCGGAAAAGGTGGGCACGGCTAGGGCTGACTTGCAGGCTACCCTTTCTGGGCCACAAAGGATGTGAATGGGGGTTTGGTCTCTAACAAATTTACTTGTATTTACTGCTGTGACCAAGGCCACAACGAGGAGAACACGGAGGGGGTTAGACTTCATGTTGCCGCCTGGTAGTCTATCTTAGATTCTATGACTGTGTTCGTCACACTAACCTGCTTTATATACGAAAAACTGAGACCTATACTTCCGTGTTCTAAGCCACGACTGAGAAACCATCAGGAAAGACACTCTGATACCTTATATGCGTGTCGTTTTCGGTAAACGACACGCATATCTTAAACTCTAGTACTGGATATATAATAGAGATTACTCAT